ATTTTTAGTTGAACAATATTTGCTCATTTGAAAGTTCTACATGTTTGTGCTACAGGGGTTCCAAATTTTAAAGAAAACTGCTAGAAATCAGAAGTAACATATCAGTATTGTAAGGGATCAAAAATATTGAAGGATAGCTAAGTTACAAGGGCCACCAAAATGAAAAGTCAAAGGAAAGAAAAATATTTACCACACAGGAAATTAGCAAAGAAAAAATAGGAACTAGAGAAAAATTCAATACTTCTGTAAACTTCAAATTCGATTGTTTTAATGGTATTTTAATATGCATGCTAATTGGTTTCATTTACACTACTAGTTTGTCTCTGTTCACTGAGAAGAAAGCTTTGTGTTATTGTTTCTCTTTTTGCAAGAATCTTTTTGGTTTATCTTCTACTCTGATTAGTTACTTGGATAAAAATAATATACACTGTAAGGAATAATATTATTACTTTATTACTGATTATGAAATTTTATTTTCATAAGATAAAAAATCACCATGCCAAAAGGAGAAGAAAGCACAACTTGAAATGCTTTCTACATAATTTCCCACTTGAGTTTAATTGTGTAAAATGTACTTTTGAAAGGCTTTTTAAAAGAACTCTTTAGAAAATAATATATTAAAAATGGTTTCCATATTAGAAACTTAGAGCTTATGATACCAGGAATTTGATTTTGTTTTATTGTAAATGTACATCTTCAGTTCACTGTAGCAGTCACATTTCAAGGAAATAAAAATCTGACTCGTTAGAGACTAAACACATTGCTGACTTTGCACTATTAGAACCTAAAAGGTATCTAATTGTTAATTGATTCTTCCTTAAAATTTAGAAGATATTGGTAACAATAAAAATATTTCATCTCACAGAATAGCAAACACTCCATAAAGTAAATATAAGTGGAAAAAGGTTCAAGTCAACAACTTCTGACATCATTGCCAGTCCTGCGGATAACCCACTACTATTATGGACTACTGGACTATATTGGGTTACTTTGCTGAATTCATGCACCTACAATATTTGAATGGCAATGGAATAGCCATCTCTCACAAAACTAAACAGGGGGATATAAATGAAGGACCATTTTGTAGTGAAAAAAATATATATGTATCTATATATATCTGTATATAAAAAATATATACAGCTACTTTCTCTCAGTTCAATGAGAAGTTTTGAACTAATGGTGATTAGACAAGATATCATGTCTGCATCTTGTACTATGAGTAGCTACTACGAAGAGAACAATATGCAATGTATTAATTATTGTAACTATGCTACTAACCTGTTTTGAAAGTGTCTCATTGCTATTTATTTCTCAAGAAAATTAAAAAAACTACCGATTTTAGACAGCTGTTCTTATTTTGACAATATATATGAGAAATTAACTCATATCAGCCACCTAACAAAAAAAGTAATATTTTTTCTAATCCTGACATTACTAGAAACAGGGAACTAAGTGATTTTTCTATCAGAAATATCTTGCCAGTGATCTATAACTTAATACTAACAAAAGGAAAATTTTCCTGAGAAATGGAAAACATCTCATAACCAATATAGACATGTTAAAATTACACACACTATATAGTCCAACTTTGCTGTTCATATGCTAGATATTTATGGAGCCTGAAAAGTATTTAATTTTGCTTGTTGTACCTGAAGAAAATAGATCAAATGACCACAAAAATTTAAAGTAATAAAGTTGAAATATATTAGTTGTCCAAATAAGTTAAATAAACATAAAATAGCTTCAGAGTACACAGATATGTATTATAGACATATGTATTTTTCAAGTCTGAGGATTAAATATGCTTTACCACTGAGTTATACCCCCAAATTTAAAGTTCACTTTTAAAGAACACTGTTTAAAGAATCACAGAGCAGTTTGTACAATCTTACACTATTTTAAAACAATAAAATCCAACAAACCACATGGCTATCAGTATCATATTGCAAATAACAACCACATTCAAGAAATCCTATATATGAAAACATTATCACTAATATAGTTTTATTGATACAAATTAAATATGTTTACCATCACAAAATAGTACATGATGTCAAGCAGAGACAGACCATAAATAAAATTCCTGGAAATTATTCTAATTCTTCCTAATTCTCTAAAACTTCAGATATCATCTTCTATTCACTGAAATTGACTGCGCACAGTAAACAATATTATCATTTAGTACAGTACGTTTGAGTCTTTTACCGAAACAGTACATCATGACTAATTTTCTATTAAAATTAAGTAAACATCTGACAATCACTCTATGTATGAGTACAAACAAAATTAGGCCATATTGCCTACTTTTTTTATAGTTCATACACTCCTTTTGTGAGCTAATAACATAAGTATTACTCTGTCTCTTAATCTACATGATCTACAGATAAATCTTTATAGATAGTTTTCACAGAAGTTTATATTTGATTATGCATACTATTTAAATGTTATTAATATTAACTGAATCATAATACTTAAAATGCAATTATACTTCTGGTTTTGTCAACTTAAATTGTTCATGGCAACTATCTGCAAAGATAATCAAATAAAATATATGAAAGGAGAATCTTGCACAAACCCAACTTCAATCCCTCTGGTTGTTTCTATATGAGATAAATATAGATATGAATAAGTTTTATAAGAGGAAAAAAGATTTATTTTATCTACAACTAAATGAGAAAAAAAATGGTACCTGTACCATCCTTAGTTTCTATTTTTCTAGGTCTATATAATATATGGCTAACCTAACAGTAGGCACACTGTATCATAAATCTGACTCTACAACTTGATAGTTTTATCACCTATCATAAATCACAAAACTCTCCAAATCTTAGTAGAATGTTCAGTACAAATGAAAGTGTTATAAAGTACTACTTTTGAGGCTCATTCAACATTAAAAATAAGGGCTGGAGAGATGGCTCAGTGGTCTAAAGCACCTATTTGGAACAAGCTTGGCAAAGCATCAGGGACCGCGGTTCGATCCCCAGCACCACATGCCAGCCAGCCCCACCCCCTGGTGGGCTGAGCTGGCCACACACACACACC